CGACTGATCTGCCTCACCCGGGAAGAGCGCAATGATGGTGCCAACTTGGGCCAGTGAAGCAACATCCTCCACAACTAGATTGAAGAACAAAGTCTGTTCCCCTTCCCCCAATTCCCCAGCGCTGTTCCCATCCCCCCAATTCCCCAATAAAAAACAAAACCAAAAACAAACAAACAAAAAAAAGTCCACTTATAAGTATTAAGAGCTATACCAGAATTAATGCCAGGAAACAAGATGTAAGAAACGCGGGTTGCCAGCTGCACCTAACACTCACTACGCTAATGCTGTCTCTCGGGTCCCTTGGGGGACAGCGAGGTTGGGGCACCGCATGATGGGGCTGGGACCCCGCTTTGCTCTAAACCCATCACCCACCATCACCTCAACACACTCGTGCACCTACATCCAAACCGCATTTCGTCACAGCTCGGTGAAGACCTGTGGGCTCAGGGCACTGTGGTGGCTTTCTGCCCTGCCCTGATGTCACCGTGGTGCCCATGAGGCGTGTCACCTGCAGGAAATGCAGTTCTTACGGGCCTGAGGCCAGAGCTGCTCCTCCAGTCCGTCATCCTTCCCGCGGGCGTCTCACGGCTGCTCCCTCCCTCTCATCAGGTCTTTGCTTAGATGTCACCTTGTCAGAGACACCTTCTCAAGAACCCCTCACTTAAAATAGCAGAGCAGAGGGGAGAGGGGCCGTCAGCTCCACCGTTCAGGCCACGAGCTTTGGTCCATGTTTTTCTTTCTCTGATTCACCTGAGGAAGGCCTGTCACCCTTGGAGAGTGAGATTCGGGACTGTCCCTAAGCCTCCAACCAGAGGTGGGCAGTCTGGTGGGTGGGAGCGTCAGGCACCACGGAGCCCTGGAGGGCGGTGCTGCTGGCCACATGTGTGTTCCTTGGGGTTGCAGTGACCTATGGGCCCTCCGTATGGCGCACGGAACGCAGGTGAGAACCAAGGGTGCCACGTGGGACACTACCCAGAGTGTCCGCTCCGAGACTCAGGGCAGAAGCGGTGACCCTGCAGCCCTGGAGTCACCGTGCGATTCTAGGTCCACACACAACCCCTGTGCCTTAGTCCAGGCAAGTGCAGAACCTTCTAAATTCAAAGCAACCCAAACGCACATGACGCGTGGGGGAAGGCACTGCCTTGATCTCGGTCACTGACGCAGCACAGTCCCGACTTGGCTGGCATCACGTGGAGGGGATGCTCACGCTGACAGTCACTAGAGCTGTAGGACAGTGGCACGTCACTAAATGTGGTTAATCAGACCCCCTGGGAGCTCCCAGTGACAGCTGGTGGCCTGATCCGGTGGGGAAGACTGTGGGTTCAGCTGGTCCAAAGGGACCCTAAAGTGACTGCACATAGCAACTTATGCGGCTTCTCTCCCCCAGGGTGGAGTTTCAGAAGCCCTCGTCATAAGCCCTCGTCCACACTGGGCTACACAGTGGGCTCTGGACATGCGCTGAGTGTGCACATCCCACTGAGGTCACAGGACAACGCAGCACTCCGCTAGGTGACCGGCAGTGTCGCACAGACCAGGACGCAGCCCCCGAGCGCCAGCACCGTGACAGCCGGCAAGGCCACTCAGACGTTGACCAGGACGCAGCCCACCGAGCGCCAGCACTGTGACAGCCAGCAAGGCCACTCAGACGCTGACCAGAACGCATACACCTGCTGTGCTTTCTGTGGCAACATGGGCAACTTGTGAAACTGCCACCCACTTTAGAGGCTACAGAGGTAAAAAACAGGAATTACAATAATTATAAAAACGGTGTTGAACAGATGCCTGAATGGACAGGAAACAAATGAACCGGCAAGAGGCAGTCACAGTGGCATCGGGCAGGCAGCCGCTTTGTCTGTTCATGCAGTGATGGCACGAGACCTATCGCTGGCTCACCTGTTTATTCAACTGCAAGCCACACAACCTATTTCTGACACGAACACGAGCTGCCCAGCGCCGTGGTGGTGGCAGTGGCCTGGCACCCTCTTACCTGGCCCCTGGTCTCTCCAGTGCTGTCCTTGGCCAGACCGGCTGTACCCGGAGCTTGTCCTGTGGGAGCCAGAACCCTGCCTCTCCAACCGCCCTGTGGGGACAGGAGGTCAGCGTGTCAGCAAGCTACCAGATGCCTAACCCCAAAACACATGCTTTGTGTGACACTGTACCAAGGTGGCACTGGACCAATGTTTTCAGACTTCTGGTGTCTGTGAATTTCAGAGAAAGCCCACGAAAAACGCAAGTGAAGGGGCCACAGTGCCAACGAGGCTGGGTGGGAGTGGGGACAGCACTGGGGCGTGTGCCCAGGGACCGTGCTGGTGATGGGACGGGCAGGCTGAGCACAGGGCCCTCAGGGTCAGCTCTGACTGGCTCTGCCTTCCTGGGGCGGTGGGCCCCACACAGCTGGCCACCCACAGGGTCCTGACCGGTGCGCCCGCCACCCATGTGCAGAACTTGGCATGCCAGACCCAGGTGCTCTGTCCAACTCCCCTCGCTTGTGTCACACCCAAGGCTCTCCCTCTCATGTCCCCTCTCCAAACCCCTAAGCCCCGCTGCCTGTCTCTGGGGGTTTCACACCAGAGGCCTGACTAGGTCAGACTGAATGTGCTTGTAAAAGTATCCTGATATTTCACAGTGATACACCACGTGGGGCCCAAGTTTTCCTTCTGCAAAACAAGGGGACTGAACCAGAGAGCATCGAGTGGCATTTGTGAAGAAATGGTGACATCAAGGACAAAAAGGAAGTTTCCCGATCATGGAGGTCGACTCATTGTCTCTCTCGAAAGTTTTCTGTGTTAGCTTGAATATGACATGATCGCCAAATCCCGCCCATCTGTAAGTGTGCTTCAACAGAAAGTAATCAAACATAGTTTCTTGTAAGGATTAGAAGTCACCGTCCTGCAGCCTTAAACGGAGACGCGTGACAACTCTGAAGCTATGGCTGTCCTTAAGGGCTTGTCACATATGCAGTCCGCTCAGGCCCAGCGGCAGTGCCTGCCCCCTGAAATGCAGAGGGAGCTTCAGGCGTCAGAATCCCAGTGACCGCTGCAAGGTCCCAGCACTGTGCCCCTGCTTTCCTGACCACCCCACCGCAGAGTGACAGGCCGCCAACCAGTTCAGGAAATGGCACCATGGAGGGAGAGCAGCCCATTTATTCTGCAGGGAATGCACTTTGCTCTGGGGTCTCTTTCTGGGCATCTACAGCTGTAGGAGAGTTAGGAGATGGAGAAAAGACGGGCAGGGGGTCTGTCCCTCCTGGGGCCTGGGCACAAAGCCGTCCTCACTGCCTGCAAATCCCTGTGGGCGGACCCCACATCCGGCGCCCGGTGGGACTGGACGCATCCCAAGGTGGTGTCCTGAGCTCATAACACAAAGGCTCTCGGAACATCTGCAAGGCTGACGCCAAGCAGGTCTGCAGGAGAGGTCTGGTGGGTGGGAAGTTGGGGTGGGCTCTCTTACTCCATCGGGAAAAAAATGGGGCTGCTCCTAAATCTTACAGGTACAGGTCTAAATGAGGCCGTGAAATAATGATCAAAATAAACTCGCTGACAAAATAAGCTTATAAAGAAGACATCCAAATTCACTGATACACAGATGCAGCCAACTCGTGAGGTATGCTTTTTCATCTGTCGAATTAGCTAAAACACAAACTTTTAAATATTGTTCAGGGTGCCATGGAAGAGGACTCTTAATCACGGGAAAAAGGTATCGAGTGATAAAAAGGTTTTTAGAAAACAAGCTGGCAGCATCTATGTAGAATTTGATTATAAATAACTCTGTAAACTACAGGACTCTATTTGAAGGAAATAATGCACAAAAAAAGCAGTCTGTGTAATTAGAAAAATGGAAGCCACCCCAGAGCTCAAAGCTGGGAGCCATGAAGCACACAGGGCGTGTGCGGTGCTGGGGCCGCATCACCACGACCCTGGCTGGGCTGCGGTTAGTGCCAGCGGAAAAGGGGACACAGCTGCACAGAGTAGCCAGTGGGACGGAGGCAGGCACTGCCAAACGCATCACCCGTCCACAGTCATCTCTGGGTCACAGAACTAAAGGTTACTTGTGTTTCCTCTTCAAGTACTTTCTCCATTGTCTACTTTTTCCTAATACACTTTTATTATGAGGAAAAATAAACCCAATCGTCTGTCCAATAAACAAAGATCACCTAAGCATCGCCAGGCCTGCACCCGGAGAAGAGCTAACTCTGCCATTAACTAACGAACCTGTGCTCCCTGGAGGGACCTGAATGTGAGCTGCTGGTGGCACCCTCTGGCTCCGGTCCCTTCAGCCCTGGCATTCTTTACCCACGGGCCGCACGGAGCGGCCAGACGCGCCCGCTGCCCACCTGAGTGGTGTGGTCGCCAGTGCTGCCGGCTGATGATGTGTCTGTCCTCCTTCAGGCAAGCCTTGCACACAACGGACTTGAGGCTGTGGAACCTGGTGAGTCGGGGCCTCTGCAAACAGACAGTGTCAGCACGGCGGGGCCGGCACCACGCTCTCCACGCACCCTCCCTCAGCACTGGACCCTGACAACAGGGTCCCAGGGAGCCACGTCCCCCGAGTCCCCAGACAGTGATGCTGGCAGCTGCGTCTCTCTCTCTGCTGTAGGTCAATGACTTCTACAGGTCAAGTTCTATGTGACGTGGGTCACGCCCCACAACCTTGCCTCGAAGCCTGTGCTTTTATCACGTCATCTTTTCCACGCTTCGCTGTCAGACGTGTCATGCGGAAATGGCTACGAGATGGAGGCAGGCGCGCTCTCCCCGCTGCGTTTTCCTAACGAACACTCTGTGTTGTCTGCCTGGTCAGGAGCCAGGGACAGGAAGGGGACGAGGCCTGTGACTGGTGGTTCACAGGCTCGTAAACGTCCATCAGCTCAGTGGTGACCAGCCGAAGCCGAGGACCACTGGCCCTCACTGCCATGTCCCGCAGCTGCCATGTGCTTCTAAATTCTCAGCGCTCGGATTCCCGCAACAGCCCGCTCGGTGTGACAGAAGTTAACCGCGGTGGCCGCCAAGTGCTCTCTGCCTGGCTAGAAGTGTGCAGCGTGCCACCTGAGCCTGTTCCACGCCCGCGAGCATGCAAGCCCGCCGAGGCGACCTGACTGAGGCCTCCCTGGGGAGCCTTCCAGGACCCACGTAGCCTGTACTTACAGAACGGGTACAGCAGGCAACGTCCCCAACCAGACTGCAAACCTTCAGGGACCGTTCCAAGTAACAAACTGTCACACTGCTACTGAGAGAGGGGCAGCCCTGCAGGCCACCTGCACTTCATTCAGGCGGTGACGACGCTCGGGAGGCTCACACCGGGCTGGGCACTGCCAGCCCTCACTCATCTGGGGCCTCGGGCACCATGGGCTGTTTTGGAAGAAGCCTTGTGCTGGAGCGCACATCTGGCTTCTGGAACAGGCTGTCCTGTCTCGGGCAGAGGTGTGGGCATGTGGGCAGCAGCCTGAGCGCGACTGTGCCAGCACCCGAGGCCAGGGGAACGCAGCCTCACTCAGGCGTTCGGCAGCAGGCGGGCCTGCGTTTCACTCAGCCTTCAAGCCAGATTCCAAACCCGAGATGGTAGGAAGGTGTGACGCCGAGCACTCACATTCTGCTCCACAAGGACCTCGGCAGCGCAGCCCTTCTCCGATTGCAGGTACTTCTCCTGGAAGAGCTTCCCGTCAAACACGTTCCAGGGCATGAGGTCACCAGCCCTCCAGGGGCAGCCGCATGCGCTGTTGACCAGAACCAGCATGGTGAGGCCGCGGACCAGCAGGGCGCCCAGCTGCACAGCTCTGGGGTCCACGCAGTCGAGCTGGGGAGCAGACACAGACAGGTGAAGGGGCCGCACACCTGTGCACGTGCCAGCCAGCGCCAGGGTGCAGGCCGCGGGGACAGGGCCTGGCCTGAGGTCCCTATGCACCATGACCCACCGTTCCCACCCCTGCTGTGTGCAGACGACCTCTGAGCTGCTAACCAGACGTCCCCGTCTCATCCCATCCCCACGCCAAAGCACTCTGGCAGCAAAGTGTGGCCAGGGCGTCGCCCGGGTGCTCTACTTCCACAAACGTTCTTTCAAAGTGAAGTAAGAGACACCAAGTCGCACTTTAGGTGAAGGGCTCGCTGTACTGGGAACACACCCTGCTGTCCTGAGTGGTCCTAAAATAACACTTTAAATGATTACTCATCATTTGGGAATAAAATGGCTTATTATCCCACAGGGCTGACAACTGTTACAAATTAGGAAGGTCATTCCAACATGAAATACTTCTTTTTGTGCCAAATCCACCTGTCAGATGTTCTTACTGTTTGTAGACAAGACGGTTCCAGCTGTGCTGAGAACTGTCACCTTTCCTGTCACTCAGGCTTCTGGAATTCTTGGCCTGTGTTGACCACACACAATGCCAAGTGGCCACGATTCCGTTAATGAGTAACAGCAACGGAAGCTGTTCTCGTCTAGTTTATGTGTTGCTCAAACTAAACCGCAACTGTCGGGTATCCTTGCAGATCTAATGTCATGCATACAACCACAGCAAATCAGGGAAAGAGTGACTTTTTATCCCCTTTACAAGGAAGGGTTCACTTCACTTATTAAAATAAGAAACCTTGATCACTTTGGGAAATTTATCATGAACTGGGATTCCCCCATAGTCAGTCCAAGACTGAACAAAAGCATCTGTGCAACACTGCTTTTTTAAATTGTCCCCCAAACAGTCATTCCTTTTTTTTTTTTTTAAGTTTTTTTTTTTAATTGGGGAATTGGGGGATGGGAACAGCGCTGGGGAATTGGGGGAAGGGGAACAGACAAGTTGCTATCTTTTTGTTCTTCAGTCTAGTTGTGGAGGACGTCGCTTCACTGGCCCAAGTTGGCACCATCATTGCGCTCTTCCCGGGCGAGGCAGATCAGTCGCCGGCTTCTGGACGGCCGCTCACGCTGGCTGCTGGCTACACACGGCAGCCCATGGCAACCCACTGCAGCAGTGGCTGCAGCCTACGCCGTCGCCGGTGACTCACGGCAGCCCAGCTCCAGGTTGAGCTGTTGTTCAGCATCTTAGCTGTGGAGGGCAGTGTCACTGGTCCTCATATGTGGGATCTGAACCGGGGCCCTCTGGCGTCCCAAGCCAGCTCTTAACCAACGCGCCACTCAGCCGGCCCCAGGAGATAATATTTAAGTGTTGTGGCTGCGACACTTTTATTTCCCAGAATATGTTTAAAAGTGTTTCTCAGCCATGTTTACCTTATTTTATTTTTCTAACTATAATAAAAGGTTAGAAAATAAATTGTGCCTTTCCTCCTCAATATGTCTGTGAGTAAGAGGATTAGGGCTGAGGAATCTTGAAAGCAGCGGAGAAAGCTGGGGGCTGTGAACAGCGGGCTGACCAGGACCCATTTCCAAGTTACTGCCAAACAGAAGTAGTTTAGGCTACTTTAGGCCAAGTGGGGCTCTGAGGAAAACAGCACTCTCACAGGCTGGGCCACAGAGAAAACCTGGCGCTCTGACATCACCTTTCAGCAATTCTTCTTCCCCAGGACTGGAATTCAGGGGCCACCTTGGGAGTGCTGCAGAAGGCTGACCCCAGATGGGGCTACGAAAGGCCCAGGAACATGGACCAATTCCAGGTGGCTAAAGGTATGGTCTTACAAATAAAATTAATACGTAAAAGCAGCCTGAATTTTGGAAACAGGATTTAAGGTGTTTGGGAGTAAGGACAAGGAAAAGCTGAGTGCTTCCTGCAGAGCTAATGGAGATGGAAAAACCAGTTCCACCGGCTCAAAGCCTCACAGTAAATATTTAACAGCAAACAGCTCAACTGGGTGGTGTTTACAGCTAATGAGGTTCATTTACTGGGGTTTATCAGCAGTTTGTAAAATGCGCTTATATGGATTTAAACTACTATTCACTAAGCCAACCTAAACTGAGTTTCAAAGATAACAAGGCAGAAAGGCACAGGCGAGGCCAGCACCCAACGGTCACATGGGGCTGAGCCTCTACCCCAGGCAGACCCATCCTAAATCCCAGGCAGAAGAGTGGCGGGTGTGCGTGTGTGTGTAGTGTGGGGTGTGTGTGTGTGTGTGTGTGTGTGTGTGTGGTGTGGGTGGGTGTGTGTAGGGGGGGCCTACTAGCTCTCTAATTCAGTCTACTGTTTAAATGACTTTCCCTCCTAACTGCAGATTCCAGTGCTAATCCCATCTATTTCTCGAGTAAACATGAGGGCGCGTTTTCACATGGGCTATACAAGCAAGTGTGAGCTGCTGACAAAACAGTGAACACGCATGTCCTCCAGAGCTGTAAGCTGAACACATACAGAGAGTTACAGGTGTGAACAGGAAAACCAGCAAACACACAACCAGCACTGAGACATGACAAAGCTCCAACCGGAAAAGAATGGCTGTAACATGTTACACGCTTGGTTCCTTGCACGTGAGCTGTCTCGACGGACTAGCGTGTCTTGTCATCTGTGTGCCTGCCCCTTGTGCATTATAAAATAAAACTGGCTTTTATTAAAATCAGAAGTAATACAGTCGTCCCTTATCCACAGATTCACTTCCTGTGGTTTCACTTACCCATGGTCAACTACAGTTGGAAAATATTAGATGGAAAATTCCAGAAATAAACACTTCATAACTTTTAAATTGCGTGCTGCTCTGAGTAGTGTGATGAACTCATGCCATCCTGCTCTGTCCTCCCAGGGACATGAACCATCTTTTTGTCCTACGTCCCAATGCTGTAGACACTCTGCCCATTAGTCACTCAGGGCCGATTGTCTTGGTGTCACAGGCTTGTGTTCACGTGACCCTGACTTCACAGTCAGGCACCGTGTGACGATGTTTCAGCCCATGAGGGACCAACCGCATGTCTGCCCATGGTCACACAGAGTGTGATGGAGACACACTTCCCATGAAAAGCGGAGGGTGTGCAGCTCAGGGGGAATGTTTTCTCCGATGGGAGCACTGTCTGTGGGGCGCGGCAAGAGATTCCTGGTCATCACAGCTCCTCAGGACTAGGCAGTTACGTGGGCGCAGTCAGCCAGAGCAGCCTATCCCCAAACAATGTACAATGTCCAACTCTGGAGTCCTGAGTCCCTCAGCCTCTCACACCCTTCTTTTACACGTAGACTCCTACCACCAAGTTCCTGCATCTGACTGTGGCTCCCGCATGCCGTGGCCCAAACCACACCACCACGAGTCTCTTATGTTTCTTCATGTCTCCATCTTGGAGTAGCAAAGCTTATACCAGACAAGGAAGACTTAAAAACAAAGACTAACAAGAGTCAAAGAAGGGTGTCCCATATGATGCAGAGATCAGTCCAACAAGAGGATGTATAATGCTGTGAACACTGACTCCCCGAGCACTGGAGCACCTCAACACAAAGCAAATATTAACAGGATGAGGGAGAGGTCGAGAGCGACACAGTTGTAGTGGCGACTTGAACACCCACTGACAGCAATGGACAGGTCCTCCAGGCAGAAAATGAACAAGGAAACAGCGGCTGTAAGTGACACATTAGGGCAGATGGGCTTAATAGACATGGACAGAACATTCTACCTGAAAGCAACAGAATAAACATTCTTTCCAAGTCCACACAGAACAGTTTCCAGGAAGACAATATGTTAGGCCACGAAACAAGTCTCGGTGAATTTAATAAGACTGAAATCACACCAAGCGTCTTCTCTTGACCACGATGGTGTGAACCCATAATCAGTAACAAGAAGGAAATGTAACAGCACACAGAACCTGGAGGCTAAACACACGCGGCACAACCAGCCAGCTGGCGGACAACCCAAGAAGTGGAACAACTTTCTGGGGCAAATGGAAGAGGAAACACAGTGACTCAAACCCAATGGCACAGCAAAAGCAGTTTAAAGGGAAAATTCATAGCAAAGAAAGGCCAACCTCAAGAAACAAGAAAAATGTCAAATGCACAGTCTAACCTTACACCTAAAGGAACTACTACAAGAACAAAGCCCAAAGTGTGTAGAAGGAAGGAAATAATAAGGAGCAGAGCAGAAATAAATAAAATAGAGACTAAAAAAAAACATTAGAAAAGATCAATGAAGGTTAAGAGCTGGTTCTTTGAAAAGATAGACAAAATTGATAAACTTTTAGCTAGACTCATCAAAAAACAGAACCCAAATAAATGAAATCATAAGTCAAAGACACCACATAAATACAAAGGATAATAAGAGAATACTATGAACAACTGTATACCAACAAACTGGAAAACCTAGAAGAAATGCATAAATTCCTGGAAACATGCAGTCTTCCAAGGCTGAATCATGAAGAAACAGAAAATCTGAACCAACTGATTACTACTAACAAAACTGAATCAGTCATCAAAAAACTCCCAACAAAAAAAGTCCTGGCTGGATGGCTTCACAGGTGAATTTTATCAAACATTCAAAGAAGAATTTACACCTATTCTTCTCAAATTATTTCAAAAACTTCAAGAGGAGGGAAGGCTCCCAAGCTCATTCTACAAGGCTACCAATACCCTGATTCTAAAACTGTATAGAGACATTACAAAAAAAATAAAATTATAAGCCAATATCCCTTTTGAACATTGATGCAAAAATCCTCTTCAAAATATTAGCAAACTGAATTCAGAAATACATTAAAAAGGGCCGGCCGAGTGGCGCGATGGTTAAGAACTGGCTTGGGACGCCAGAGGGCCCCGGTTCAGATCCCACATATGAGGGCCAGTGACACTGCCCTCTACAGCTAAGATGCTGAACAACAGCTCAACCTGGAGCTGGGCTGCTGTGAGTCGCCAGCGACGGCGTAGGCTGCAGCCCCTGTGGCAGTGGGTTGCCATGGGTTACCATATGTAGCCAGCAGCCAGCGTGAGCGGCCAGCAGCCGCAGTGAGCAGCCGTCCAGAAGCCAGCGGCTCATCTGCCTCACCCGGGAAGAGCGTAATGATAATACCAACATGGGCCAGTGAAGCAACATCCTCCACAACTAGACTGAAGAACAAAACGACAGCAACTTGTCTGTTCCCCTTCCCCCAATTCCCCAGCACTGTTCCCCTTCCCCCAATTCCCCAATAAAAAAAATTAAAAAAAAATCTTAAAAAAAAAAAAGAAAAGAAATACATTAAAAACATCATACACCATGGTCAAGTGGGATTCATTCCTGGGATGCAAGGTTGGTTCAATATCAACAAATCAATTAACATGATACACCACATAAACAAAATGAAAGATAAAAACAATGTGAACATATCAATGGATTAAAGTGGGAATAGAGGGAACACACCTGAGAATAAAGGCCGTATACCCACAGCTAGCATGGTGCTCATCGGTAAGAAACTAAAAGTGTTTTCCTTAAGATCAGGAACAAAACAAGGATGTCCACTTTCACCACTTTTATTCAACATTGTATTGGATGTCCTGATTGTCACAGCAATCAGACAAGAAAAAGAAATAAAAGGCATCCATATTGGGAAGGAAGAGGTAAAACTCATTATTTGCAGATGACATGATACTATATAGGGAGAGAATGCTAAAGTTTCCACCAAAAAAACTATTAGAACTGATAAATAAAATCAGTAAAGTGGCAGGGTACAAAATTAATATTCAGAAATTGGTTGCATTTTTATATACCAATACCAAACTATTAGAAAGAAAAATTAAGAAAATAATCCCACTTACAACAGTATCAAAAAAAGTGACCTAGGATTAAATTTAACCAAGGAGGTAAAAGACGTGTACTCGGAAAATTATACGACACTGAAGAAAGAAACTGAAGAAGATACAAATAAAGGGAAGCATATGCCATGCTCATGGACAGGAAGAATTAACATCATTAAAATGTCCATCCTACCCAAAGCAATCTACAGAGTCAATGCAATCCCTGTCAAAATACCAATGGCATTTTTCACAGAACTAAAATAAATAATCCTCAGATTTATTATATAGAACCATAAAAGACCCTGAGTAGCCAAAGCAATCTTGAGAAAGAAGAACAGAATTAGAGGTATCACACTCCCTGACTTCCAACTATACTACAAAGCTACAATAATCAAATCAGCATGGTGCTGGCACAAAACAAACACATAGATCGAAGGAACAGAATACAAAGCCCAGAAATAAACCCATGCATATGTGGTCCATTAAATCCAAGACAAAAGAGGCAAGAATAAACAGTCTCTTCAATAAATGGTGTTGGGAAAACTGGATAGATACATTAGCAAAAAAATGAAACTAGACCACCCTCTTACACCATATACAAGAATCAACTCAAAATGGATTAAAGACTTAAATGTAAGACCTGAAACCACAAAACTCCTAGAAGAAAATACAGGCAGGAAACTCTGACACTGGTCTTAGCAATATTCTTTTGGATATGTCTCCTTGAGCAAAGGCAGGAAAAGCAAAAATAAAAAAGTGGGACAACATCAAACGAAAAAGCTTTTGCAAAGGAAACCATCAACAAAATGAAAAGACGGACTCCCAATGGGAGAACGTATTTGCTAATGATACATCTGATAAGGGGTTAATATCCAAAATCTATAAAGAATCAGAAAACTCAACATCAAAAAACAATCAATAGTGTATATAGATGCCATATTATAAAGCTATATACCTGCAATTTATGTTATTAACCAATGCTACCACAATAAATTTGATAAAAACCATAAAACCCAACCAATCCAATTAAAAAATGGGCAGAGGACATGAGTAGACTTTTCTCCAAAGAGGACACACAGATGGCCACCAGGCACATGAAAAAATGTTCAACATCACTAATCATCAGAGAAATGCAAATCAAAACCACAATGAGATACCATCTCAGTCCTGTCAGCATGGCATCATCAATAAATCTACAAACAACAAGTGTTGGCGAGGCTGTGGAGAAAAGGGAACCCGGGTGCAGTGTTGATGGGATTGCAGATTGGTGCAGCCACTATGGGAAACAGTATAGCGGTTCCTCAAAAAATTAAAAACACAACTACCTGTGACCCAGCAATTCCACTCCTGGGTATTTATGCAAAGAAATCCACAACACGAATTCAAAAAGACACATGCACCCCTGTGTTCACTGCAGCTTTCCTTACAATGGCCAAGACATGGAAACCACTTGCGTGTCCACTGACAGATGATGGATGGAGCAGAGGTGGCACGTGGACACACACAATGGAGTATAACTCGGCCACAAAAACAATGAAATTGTGTCATCTGCAACAACATGGATGGACCCACAGGGCATTGTGCTGCGCGAAGTGACTCAGACAGAGAAAGACAAATGCCATGTGATTTCACTTATATGTGGAATCTCAAGAACAGAACAGAGAGAACAAACTGACGGGCGAGAAGGGGAAGGGACTGAGCAGCATGAGCGTCAACCATAAACGAGCTGCAGGGTGTGAAACGCACGGGGAACGGCCAGTGTCGCAACTCCGTGTGGTGCCGGGTGCTCACCAGACTCACCGCGGGGGCCACTTCGCACCGTACATAAAAGCTGACCTGCTGCTCTGTACACCCAAAACTGTTGTAACTGTTGCACGTCAACTCTAATTTTAAAATTAAAAACATTAAAAACAAAACGAGAAAAGCTCCTACCCTCCCTGAAAACACTGACACAGCTATGGTGGTCGCGGGGCCATTTCCAAGTGCAGAACCAGCTACCCAGCTACAGCCCGCACATGGAGCCAGCGGTCAGCAACAGCGGCACAGGTCCCACTCCTGCTGGAAGGAGCTGAACACTGGGAAGGTGCCCGGTATTTGGGGAAATGCTCCTCCCCTCCCCCCCAGCAAGCAGGAGGCCTACGAGGCCACTTGGTGATGTTAGGGGTAAACGCTCACAAGTGGCCTCGTCCGAGTGAGACCACGCCAGAGGCAGGCCTCCCGGAGACGGCGCGTCACCTGCATCACCAAACACCCTTACTGGAAACCCACAGCAGGCAAGGCGCCGGGGGTGACACTCCCACCCCCCCAGAGCCGATGCAGCGTGGGAGACCAGGCCCACAGGCAAAGCAGGCAGGACGGGGTGCTCGCACCAGGAACCGGCGCTCTAGTTCCCTAAAGTGGGTGACACGTTTACAGAAAGCCAAATAAGCTTTCCTCTCCAAAGACCAGAACACGGAGACGCAGCGAGAACTCCGTTCTCAAAGCTGTCACGAGGCAGTGCTTGTACAAGAGCGTGTTTGGTCCAGCTGCTCACGACGACGTGGGACTGCCGCTGCCACGGTGGGGGTGCTGTCTGTCCTCAGCTCCTTCTACAGATTTTGCTAACATGGCAGGACTTGGGCTCAGTGGCTGGCGAGACGGACCACACCACTGTACCACGAGCGGGAAACAAGGGCCGGCGTGAGCGCTGACCCCTCGGTCAGACCGGCTGCCCTCAGGGCCATGACGGTCCGCCAGTCGCCTCAGTACCTGTAGGGCCTCCAGCTGCGCGGCTGACTTTCCTTGCAGGCACAAGGCCTGGGCGATGAACGCATGCAGGTCCTCCAGGCACAGCGTGTCCACCTGGAAGGGAGAGAGGCCGAGCCCGGAGTTAGCAATCATCGACCTGAGTCGCCGTGACCACACCCAGGGCTCACACGGCACCGGCGCAGCTCTGGCAGCAGACAGGCCGGTGCAGGCAACTGGGTCTCTTCTCCCACCGCCCTGACCCGGGGTCAGCTCTCCACCCTGCCCAGGGCCACGCTGGACAAAGGAGCCTGGCTCCTCTCCAAGGTGGCCAGTTCCAGTGCCTGGCAGGTGATCCCTGTTAAGGACAGATTTCCAGAGCTGGCATTCAGGGGTGTGCAGACAGAGCATGACCGCTGGGTGGTCAGGCCGGGGTACTCAGCCACCCGGCCAACTACAGGTAACACTTGTGTCCTTGAAAACCAGTTTAAAGGAAAGCAGGCTCCCCGAAACATGAGACCCTGCCGATCCTTTGTGGAATCCAAAGCTCTAACGAAAGTGAGACACAAGGAGACAGACGGGGAATAGCCAGCCGGGTCTCAAGTAAACGAGGGAGTGAGGAGAGGGCCCGCGAGCCCAGAAGACAGAGCCAGGGGGTAGGGGTGGGGGGCATGGTGAAACAGCCTCTCCACCATGTGTCCCCTCACCGGACCAGGGGCGGCAGCTTTCTCACCGCGGGGCCACCTGCTGAGAAACCCCACGGCCACCGCGAGAATGCCGAGTGCGCCCTGGGGAGGCCGAGAGGAACACTGCGGGACTCGAGCAGCACGCTCACCGGCTGGCACCGCCTCCAACACTGTCGCCCTCTTTGTAGAAACGCCAGCCACGGTCATTTCAGGGGAAAACAACACCTACCGATGTGCAGCCCTCATGACAAGAAGAACGGTCCTGGGCTGCACAGGCGAGGCCAGGACGGCAGGTTCCAACCGCCCGGCGCGGCTCCCTGCGTTTACACAAGCCCGCTGGCAGGGGACTCCGCTCGCCATTAGCAAGCTCCTGAGAGGCTCACGCAAACATGTTGACTGACCGCGGGAGGACAGTAGCAGTCTTCTACATCATGTCTTTCAAAGTTCACCCGTCTCAGACTTGGCATCACCTGTGGTGACGCCTAAAGCACACCTGGTGCCAGGTCCTGGGTGCGTAGTTTTTAGAATCCCAGACAGCGGACGCTATTTGATAAAGGGTCTACTGCACTCCGGACTGTTTCTAAAGTGTGTATGTTCCAGGATGTAAATTCTCCCTTCCAGAGACTCTTCCCAAGATGAGCCTTTAATAAAAAATCCTGTTATCAACTTAGAGGTCTGACAACGCGATAGCGTTTAGTTTCTGTGCCGCTTTGTACACTGAACGTATGTGATCTTATCTCGTCTTACACATAACACATCTACGCATAAGCATACAGAAGTGTAAGAACTTACAAATGGACCTTTTTAGCCTTATAATCCCGAGAGAACAATTACCCTGTGAACTACGATACATCAACTTCTTGACCTAAGGAACGCTGACTGCTGCCATACCCATTTGTTTTCCAGTTTAAAAAGTTCACAAACGCTCCCTGTAGTGAAACCAATGCTGTCTGCCTCACGCAGCCGGCCACTCAGAGGTGATCAATAGGGGAGGAGTCAAGTGCACTGTCCCTCCTGGTGCCTGTAACAGGCAGGAGAGGACAGCACGCTCAGCGACCAGGACCGTCTTCTGCTGGAAGTGGGGTCAGGAGCTGACCGTCACCTGCACACATGATGAGTGAGCGGAGCTGTGCTGTGTGACCGTGAGCTGGGCCAGACCGCGCAGGATGCATGCCCAAGCACCCACGCAGGTTCAGCGCTGAGCCCGCTGCCCACAGGGCAGCACCGGCCACGTGTACACCTGTGCATCTGTGCACAGTCTCAAAGGACATGCACCTTCACACTGAAATGTCACACACTCCTGCCACCCTGTTAAGGCCCTACTTTGCTAAGTCTGATGCAAATAAACATTCCACTCCAAACAGTGAGGCAAAAACTAACTTTATGCCGCCATCTGCGTGACCAGTAACGAGGCATATAACCCCTATAAGAGTCACCTGGCCGCATGCTTGCGGAGTGAGAAGTGCAGAACTAGCTGTGGAATGGCAGAGGCAAGGGGGCACTGACAAAGGGAAAGTCGTCAGGGTGCGGTTCCCTGAAATGTCATTCTACAGAAACAGTACGTTTCTTAAAGACGGCAAACAATTCGTCAGGTGAACTCAGGTCTGAAAATCAGAATCACACGACTCTCTGTTCAGGGAAGACGGAGAGGCTGAGAGGGTCAGATAAAGTCCAAATGGGCTAAAGGCACAGAAGGGACATTGTCACTGTTATGACAACAGTGAGACAAAAATCACTGAGAAATAACCAGCTGGGGGAGGGTAGCGGAGGGGCTGGAAGGCATGTTAAGCCCCCTCGTCCTGAGGTGTCGACACAGCCACGTCCGAGGGAAACTGCTGCGAGGCGCATCTTCTCAGCTTCTGCAATTTTCACAGAAAAACCAAATGCAGAATGAATGCAAAGCTTGATGTCCCACTTGATGAGGGTCTACAACGCGGCCAGAGGCTGAGGACTGACGATGACGGTGGTGGTGACCCTTGTGGACACGTCACTGGGCACTTCTACAGATCGCTCCCAGTGTCCCCACCATGCGAGCACCCCAGTGACCCCAGGAGGTGGCCATCGTCCCACTCTCTGGGTGGAACACGAAGGTGAGCGCTCAGTAAAATTTGTTAGACGGCTGCATGAACAGATGTTAACTTAGGAAAGTCGAATCCATGTGCCTAGAAGTGAAGGGCTTCTACGGGAAGGCGGGGACCGCAGGCCGGTCAGCCTGAGTGCAGAGCTAGGCCGTCTCACCGTCACCCGGGACCCCAGGGACAGAAACAAGCACCCAAGCAGGGACGGGGGACAGGATGGGATGGGGAGGCTCTCCACAGACTGGAAGCTTGGGGAGCAGAAGCAGAGTGAAGGCAGGTTCCTTCGCCTGCAAGGAGCCTCGAGCCTCCGTCACACTTGGGTGCATGACAAGAAGCAGCAGGTTTCCCCAACCCCGGGCCCTTGTCTGGCTCAGAGCATTTCAGGGAACCAGTGTTCATGGCACCCACATGGACACAGATGCCACGGGGGCCGGGGCAAGGTCACCTGCACAAAGAGGTAGGTCAGGACACAGCACAGCGCCTGGAACGGGCTCTCGACCGCCTGCAGCTCTTCCCGCGAGGACGAGAGGTCGAAACAGGCCAGGAGCGTGTCCACGCGCAGGGCTTGCGTTCCTGGCTCCTGGTTCAGCCACAGCAGTTTCAAACTAGGCGTGCCCCCTACGTGGGAAAAGAAGTCCCATCACCTTTATGCTTTGCGCGAGCAGGTTTCACATGCTTCCTGCAGAGACGTCATCAAAGAACACGGGACACGAGCTGCTTCCCTTCCTCACAGCCTTGGGCTTTGAGGCTTCAGGACAGAGGCTTAGCAGCACGGAGAGTCCTGTGTACATGTTGCACGGAAACCTCCTTCCTGCGCCCCGGGGGCAAGGCGCCCGTCCCGCCTGTGCTGGCTCCGTACTACTGAGGAGCCGTAGGAGCCGTTCAGAGGACACTGTCCCGGGTGTGAGCAGGATCACGGCCACCACACACCCGGCTCGCCCGTCACTCTGCTCTCCCACCCGAGACCAGTGGTTCCCAAACGTCAGTGCCTAAAGGAACCACTGCAGAGACTGCCAGCATGCGTGTTCCTGGGTTCTGGACACAGAAATTCTGCTTTGCTAGGTGTGGGGTCTGCAGATTTGGACGCAGGGTGTGTGAGCCCATGCTCTGGAAAGCACGTCCCTGGAACGATGATGCAAAAAATTCCTAAAATAAAGATTTTCGTGTTTCAATTCTGTTTTATATACACGAGTACATCTAAATTATTAAAATCCCCTGGCTCATGTGCTCAATGAAGGGGTTTCTGCTGGGACCAGGAGGGACAGCAGTGGCGTCTGACTACACACTTCCTGCTGTCCTCCCTCCTCCATCTAACCCACATCCAAGCAGCTGCCACCCAGCACCTGCCCCCAGGGACTCCCATACACTGGCAATCGTGGCGTGGGCTGGAGGCATAGCTAGGAGAGAGGAAGACTCACACCTGCCCTCAAGGACGGCACGCTGGCACCAAGCGCGAGTGTGCCACAGAGCACGCCCAGGCTCACAGCAGAGGAATGAACTGTGTGGCCAAGTGCATCACGGGAGGGACATGTGAACAGCCAGCAAAGAGGGACTCCAGGGACGGACATGTCGGTGCCAAGGCCCCTCCCTGAGAGCGCTGGGAAGGACGCGATTCACCCAGGAGGGTGCCTGAAAGGTGGCTCAGGCCGTGGTGGGGACAGACCAGAGGAAGGTTAAGGGGCGGGCAGGAGTCAGAGACCGCAGGGTGAGCGGGACACACACGGGCTGGCGAGGAGGAGGGCTCCAGACTGCGGCTGCTCCACTGCAGTAGACGTGACACTATTTCGAAGGGCGCCCTGTTCTGGGCACCAGGGTGGCAGGCTGCAGCCTGCGGAGGCGGCCCCAGAAGGGAGCACAGGGTGGTGAGCGAGCTGTGGGGCTGGAGGGCTGTGCTGTGTTTCCGTTCGCTGTGTCTCTTACCATATCAACAGCCACAGTGTCATCTGGGGACTTCCTAGAAATGCAAATTCTTGGGCCCATCCCAGACACACAGACACACAGACACACACACACACACACACACACACACGCACGCACGCACGCACAGACATGCATGTATACACTTGCACTTGCTCACACGTGCATACACGCACGCACACACACACACACACACACACGCACACACACACTCATCTAGGTGGTGGGGCTAGAGAGGCTCGGACAGAAAAGACCAAGGGTGCCTCAGACATTGCTCCCCGAGATCCGCGGGCAGCTCGGATGCTTCAGAGAATAATCAGAGACTGAAGGAGCAAGCACTCTGGTCTCCAGGTCACCAACGAGCATCACATCTAAACCCCATGGGCTTCAAACATCACGTAACTTGGTGAAAGTGTCTGTGTGAGCAGGAGGACAGGAAGGGCCCCACCCTGTCTGCGTCACTGCTCCCACACACAGAAACAGCCGCTCGGCAAAGTCACATTCCCAGTGCACCAGCCAGTGAGGGAACGAGGCCCTTTCAGACACGGCCTCCGCGCACGGTCAGGCTCCCAAAGCTGGGTCAGGATAGGCGGACGCACAGCCCTGCCGCGAGCCCCAGCAGCACACACTCTGAGGCTCACCTGATGTCCTAGGACATCCAAACATCCTTCAACATTCACTCACAACGTGATGAACAGACAAACTCTGATTCGAGCCACCAAGGAAACCATCTAGTCCACTTCCATAGTATTTTCGGAAAGATACTGTAAGATGGAAATTAAATATGCAGCAAAACACTTCTGAAAACTATTTTGGTTATCCTTTAAAAATACTTCCTGCTATAAAAACAAGTGTTAATTCACCTTGATCTGTGTTTGCACTAAGTACCTTTCAGGTGAGAGTTCAACATCACTGACTGACAGAATAAGGAAATATCCTCTCTAATACCTTTCGTCACCTTCTCTCCCAATACAATCCCACTCATAAAGACGTTTTGCTGCGCTCTAATCCTCATTCGGTAAATTACAGGCTGTGAGATGGAGAATAATGGTGACACGAGAAAATTTAAAGCCTACAAAGACAGACTACCCAAATCTTAGAAAAATGTTTGTTCTCTGAAACAGGGACAAGACCTCTAAAACTAAACTCTACACCCACCCGCTCCTGTACCATCTCCGTGTAGAGCCTGAACCTGCAGTCACAGCTTCCTGACCTTTCCCAGACACTACAACCCCAAGGAAGGAAGGATTCACTTCAGCTAATTTTTGGACAAGCCTCGTGCTCCTTCCCTCTCATTACATGTTTTAAGATACTGCTCATGAAAAGAAACTTACTTTTCCCGTCACAGTAACTTTCCTTTGTCTTCCCTCTCGTGCTGTCAGTTCCGCACGGGAAGGAGAGCTGGCATCAGCAGAACGTCAAGAACCCAATCCCGCGGCTGCAGGGGTGTCAGGCCCTGGGGGTCCAGCCTGGGCCAGCCGCCTGCATGCCGCCATTTTGGTTTTTGTTTTAAATAAAAATTTGGCCAGGTTGCTCTAATTAAGACCCCCAACAGCTGCCCGCAGTGCTGGAACAGCACCAGGTAAGTCCCTTGCCCGTGGGCCCAGGGCTGACACAGAAACGAGTACCTGTGAGCTTCTGGAAACCACGTTCCCGCAGGCTCAGTACTTTACCTCACGAAGGCTAGCGTACCTGGAAGGTTCATCGGCAGAGGCCTGACGAGGTCCGGGTGTCTCAGCGGGTTCCCCGCATACACAAACCACTCCCGGACGGTGGGGCAGCCGCTGGCGTCACCTGAGAGAGACAGCGGGGTCAGTGATGCGCATGGGTGCCAGCACTCGTCAGCAGCCTAACGGTGTAACGGGCCTGCTCTGCGAGGGACCAGCTCCAAGGTGGCGAGCACGTGAGTTCCCACACCCAAGGTCACTGACCTCGGGCATCCGACAGCTGGCCCCCACCCTGCAATCGAGGGCCATCTGTTCATTCCAACAAGAACCACCACCTGGTGTGTGTGTGGGGGGGGCAGGATAGCCTGGGTACGCACAGCTATGTGGGGTACAGTCCCCACTTGGTGATCCCCAGTGTCCATCCCTCCCCTGCCTCCCACCTCATACTGTTCCAGAAAATAGTCAGGGAAAAGTGAGAACACGAAGTCCTTCCTGGTCTTAAATTCATCCTTTTAGGTCACTTTCCAGACTACTATCACGAGACAATTCAAAAAGCGGGCAGCCATGCCTGGAGCCACGGCATCTCCGAACGCTGTTAGGCTGCCGGCTGCTACAAACGTCCGGCCGGACTGCACTCTGCAGCTTCCTGGCCAAGCGGAAGAGGAAAACCTTCTCGCTCGGCCTGCCTCCTCCAGCCCCTGCCCCCTGCCCCGGGCCCTCCCTCGGCTGCCACACAGCCTGTCCTCCCCCCGGAACGTGGTGCAACCTGCCCAGCTCCTTCCTGTGCTCTGGCACCGCCCTGGGCAGGCCAGGCTGTGGTCACATCTCACATTCAGTCTCATCCCCATCCAGGCCATTCTCCAAGTAAATGGAGGCTACTGGGTTTTCTTTTTGGTTTTTTTTTAAAAAGATTTTTATTGAGGAATTGGGGGATGGGAACAGTGCTGAGGAATTGGGGGAAGGGGAACAGACAAGTGGCTGTTGTTTTGGCTGTTGTTTTGTTCTTCAGTCTAGTTGTGGAGGACGTTGCTTCACTGGCCCAAGTTGGCACCATCACTGCGCTCTTCCTGGGCAAGGCAGATCAGTCTCCGGCTTCTGGACGGCCGCTCACTGCGGCTGCTGGCCGCTCACGCTGGCTGCTGGCTACACACGGTAGCCCATGGCAACCCACTGCAGCAGGGGCTGCAGCCTACGCTGTCGCCGGCGACTCACGGCAGCCCAGCTCCAGGTTGAGCTGTTGTTCAGCATCTTAGCTGTGGAGGGCAGTGTCACTGGCCCTCATGTGGGATCCAAACCGGGGTCCTCTGGCGTCCCAAGCCAGCTCTTAACCAACACGCCACTCGGCCGACCCGCTACTGGGTTTTTTAAATAAAAATTTGGCCACGCTGCTCTAATTAAGACCCCCCAACAGCTGCCCGCAGTGCCAGAAAAAAAGTGCAGCCCTTGGCCTCCCCTGGGACTGCAGCTCAAGCACCGACACACGTGAACACGTAGGGCCTCCCGGAGTCCGGTGCACAGCAGCGCTGGCTGGCGCACTGCGAGCAGTCCTCAGGGCCCGGCAGCCACGGCTGCAGCTCACGAGGGCCCTGCCCTCGCCGTGGCTCTCCTCACCTCCACACCTGGACACAGCCCTCCTTGGGTCTCGATCCTCCCTCTGAGGCCACCTCTCCACATGGGCGTGGGGCTCACACCTCCTTCCCGTCCCTCCTGGCTCAGGTACCGGTACCCCCACTGCGGGCAGCACCTTCTAACCCCACCCCCACCCCCGGCTCTGTGGCTGGAGAACGCAAACACCCACTTATCTCCCCAGCCACTGCCTCTGACTGTGGGCTCCTGACAGCAAGAAGTGTGTCTTCTTCACACAGGTCCGCCGCAGATGTCATTAACGTTTAATGAACAAATTCAACTTAGCCCCAATTTCACACATACACATACCAAAAAAGAAAAAGAAAGAAGAAACTCTGAGAAGTGTCCTTAGAGTTGTTACCAAGCCCCTTCCGCTGGGCCTAGGTTCTCACTATATTAAAGGTGGCCGCCTGAGGGGACGCGCCGTCTCTAGTGTCAGAGGACATGTCTGAGCAGGTTTCACTTCAGTGACTGGCTGGTAGGAACTCAGCCACTTCCTCAGCTTCCTGCCCACCGCCTCCATGGGAAATTTCCCAAACTGAGCAAGCCACATCGTGCGCCATCCGTTAAGAATGATTATCTTGGGCCGGCCGAGTGGCACAATGGTTAAGAACTGGCTTGGGACGCCAGAGGGCCCCGGTTCGGATCCCACATATGAGGGCCAGTGACACTGCCC